GTGAGATATCCAACCCCTGGATCTACAAGCTCGGCCTCGGCTTTTTACGTGCGTCTCCATCGGCTCCATCAAAACAGCATGTCGACGCTTCCCCTGCGTCTTTCCCGTGTGCCATAACCAAACTTTCTGGCCGTATCGCCCACCACTGCAGCTAAGATCTACAATGTGACAACCTTAGACTGCGAATCAGGCTGCAAAAATCAAGCTCAGATGATAAACTGCATTGGCATTTCAGAACGTTCGGTCGCAGCACATCCCTCGGTCATTCCATACTTCCCCGGGAATGTTCGGCATCAAGCGGGCTCGGACTGTACAAGATCGGCATTCACTGTAAAACTTATGCAGACTCGGACTTGGTGATGTTCTGCAAACACATGCGGCTGATCCAGCTCCACCATTCGGTGTGGCGTGCTTTGTCTCCGCCTACTGCTCGCATAGTCTTGCCGGAACAAATTATTGCAGTATTTGGCGACTTCCTCGTGGGCTCGGCTTTGAGAATTTCCCACTTGCTGTCGTTCCTCTGCGATAACTCCACAATCAACTTGGCCAATGTTTGGTACTTGCTGCGGAACTCGGACTCTAGCCAAATTTTCCTTGTTGCAAGGCTGCAGTGAAAATCAGTAGTAACTAACAGTAAAAAAGAACATGCTGAACATGACCCTATCATCGGCAAGGAGCTGTGTGCTCCGAGCCTGCACTGCCCCAGCGAAGCAGATTCGCTTGTGCTTACTTACATCGGCACCTTCGCAGATTGTCTTGCCCCGCAACATGGCCTCGGCCGTTTGCCAGCTCGGAGTGTTTAGATTGTCTACCACCACCAAGTCGGCCAGGGCAACCTTGTCAACCAAAACTTGTCGCGGGCCCAGTTCCGTGTTCGCTTTGGCTTTCGGCAGGACATAGACCCTTGCATTCTCGAGGCCGGGCTTTTTGCTGGGCTGGCTTAACTTCTCCAGCAGGCGCCGCTGTCGAGCCGTGACTCTTCCACGTTGGCCTCTCTGGAGCTTCGTCTTCAAAGCGGCTGTTGTTTTGGGGCGGAGTCCTTGTCCACGTGTCTCGGCCGCTTCCGCCACCTTGGCTGCCTGTTTCTCGGCCAAGGCTCTGTGCAGCTTGGTGTGACATTCACTCCAACATGACTCTTTCGCCTCGGCAGGGATGCTGGTGCCAAACATACTGCCCGATGCTGTGTCTTTCTCGGACAACCTTCTGGTGGCAAGTCTCTGCTCCTTGATCAACGTTGCCTCGGATCTCTTCTTGCATTTGCGTCTAACTCCTCGGGCCAAGGTCCCCAGCTGTTTGTCGCCGTAAGGACCACGAGGCTGCCCAAAATACTCGACATAGAGACTTTTGGCCAGTTTTAGAAGAGGCTGTGGCACTCCGTTGCTCACAAGCTCGGACTCTTCCATCTCCGAGATTTGAAGTCGGTCGCCTGGGAGCCAAGAAATTAGAAACACAAGCCGGCCCTGGCTTCGGGCCGCAACATAGGGCTGCGAGTTTTGGGCCGTGTCTTTAGGGGTTCAGGATTCATGGTTCCGAATCCGGCTGAGGCACGAAGACGCAAGAGGGATTGCTGGGCGACGCGCTTTGCACTCTGACGCTCTGCTTCAGAGAACTGACTCTCAACGCCCTGTGTGGAGGCGAGGCTGGCGGCGTAAAAGCGAATCATAATCAACCTCTGCGAAGTTTCTGGCACTACTTCAGTTTGTCAGACAAAGGCATCAGCAACTTGTCACTGTCACGCAGACTTCAGGTGTAAGTTTTAGGGTTTAAGGGTGCGGTTTCACCGTAAGTAGATTCAGCACAGCGCTTGCCTAAGCTAACTCCGAGCAACAGGTGATCCACACGGGTGTGACCTCGGGCGGCTTGGTGCCGCGCGAGCACTTTGGCCCAGGCCTCCAGGTTGTTCCCCAGCTTACCCCAGGCATGCAAGAGCGAGTCCTGTATTGCCGAACATGTGTTTGTTGGTGATTCGGGCGACGAACAAGAAAAACGAGCAAAGAAGGAGGATTAATACAGAACAGCAAAGGGAGTGTGATAAGTTCCATGCTGAGATCTGAATGTGGGTCCTCCTACGACACACACACACACACACTCATTTAGCATTAGGCACCTTAATAGCAGCAAGTATGTCCTTGATGTGGGTGAACTGCAGCCACGCCTCCTCGGGCGGCAAGTGCAGGCATGACGCCAGCTTGCGGAACTTTTGTTCCAGCTGGGCAACCCTCTCTTTCCGAGCATTATTGCAAGCAGACGTCGGGCCGAAGTTCTTCTCGACCGAATACCACATGGCCAGCGACAGCGACTCCAGCCTCAGCATGAGCTCTTGGGCGGGGAATTCTGCTCGGACACCTGCCAAAATGGTCTTCACCTTGGCAAAGGGCTGTTGTCACAATCTTGAGTTGCCTGAACTTAGCAATCCAGAGGATCAATCCTGCAAGTGACAAGTTACAACAGAAAAAGACGAATCCATGTCACTAACGACCGAGAGGCGAAAACGGAGACTCGGTCGTGCACTCGGGCGAGGACTTCTTGCCGCTCTCGGGCGCAAGGCCATGACAGACCATGCCTTTCTCCGCCGAAGGTGAAAACCTTTGCCTCCTTCATCTGGTCCAGAATGCGCCTGGTCCATGATCCTTGATTCTCGGACGCCCATATGCGAGCTTCCAGGAATAGCCGACGCATCTGGGTTTCAAACTCGTCCACACAGGCGCTCGCAAGGCTCGGGTCGCTGGACTCCGCTTCCACCTGCCTGCAAAATGTCAAGGTCATCTCCTGAGTTTCGATGGACTACACAGGTTACTCAGACCCGACAGTGACAGTCACTCAGTTCACTTACAACAGCAGCCGCTCTTAGGGGTGCTTTTTGGGTTTAGGGTTTATGGTTTGCTCCTGCTGGGAAACCTTAGGTCGAGTGACCTCGGCGTCTGCCACACAGGCCATCAGCGCGACCCGCTCGAACGTCAGTTGCCTCAAACGCTTTGCCGCCCAAAGTCGTTCCTCGGCCGTCGTCGCCTGCTCCGCGTGTTTGGACAGTGCCGTGCAAGTCCCCAAAAGATGCAACAGGAGGCGTCGTTCGGGATCCACCTGAGACTGAAACCGTGCCTTGCCGTACCGCAAGCTAAGCATGACAGGAATCGGATCCGAGCTCGTCTCTTGCTGTGCCTTACAAGCAATCTCGAAACGCTCGCGAAACGATGCATTGAACGAGATGTGCTTTGCGACGGAGGATGGCCCAGACACGAAGTCCTCTTTGAAGTTCCTAATCTCCTGGTCACAATCGACAGCATTCTTCAAGGATCCCACAATGGCATGTCCTCGGTCGCGTATGATGGCACGTAAATTCGAGAGGCCCGAGCTGGACAGCAGTCTGCAGGCCTTCTGTGCGTACGGTGCGCCGTCCGCGGTGACGCACGTCACACACGCTTTGAAGTCTGCAACTGAAGCCTCATCCAGGACGCCTCGGGCGTCCAGGGCGCCTGTCCCACGGCTGAAGAATTGCTTCACACAGTCCAGGATAGCCTCGCTGTATTTCTCAGCACCGCCATGCGTCTCTAACGCACCCAGCAGGCCGCGTTTGCGCTCCAGCTTCTCGTTCACCGCCGTAAAGCGCACTGCAACGATTTTGTCTCGGGCATCATGGGCAAGGCTGATGTCTGTCTTTCGGCCGGACTTCGCAAGCCACTCACGAAGTTGTTCTCGCTTGGCCTCTGCAATGGCCCAATGCATTTGACGCATTTTGTGCGGCGAAACAAAATCCTCCTCGGACGAGCTCTTGCATTGGGCTTGTTTGGCAACACGAAAGGCAGTGAGCCATGAGTTCACCGGAAGGGCATCTGGCCCTGTCCCCAAGCGTGCTGGACCTGCGACCGAGGTGCTGCTGGCCGCGCCAGAGCATTCACTCCTGTGGGCTGAGCTGGTACCTGGAAGGTCTGGGTGACGCTGGTGCGACTCGGTCTGCATAGGCTGCTTCTGTGCTTTCGGACGTGAGGCTTCCATGTACACAGAGCAGTCGGGCCGTCCACCAGCCACAGGCACCGTAGGGAGCAATGCAGCGTCGGGCAACATGAAAGGTTTCATGGCCTCCTGGTGCTGTGCTCCTGGACACGTGGCCATTAAGGTCTTTGGTGTACATGTTGGTAACTAGATCAGTCTCTGTACTGCACAGCACATAATAATCTAAGTTACTAACATGTTCCTCGGGCGTGCTGCACGACATTCTGGAACTGCAACCAGCTGCACACCTCAAACCGGCTCCAGCGCGTGTGGCTAACACGTTTCTCGGCCGCTGCTTGCGCGCAAAAGATGCAGCCCAAAGCCCAGTCCTGGCCGTCGCTTGAAGGTTTATAGGGTCTAGACGGTTTGCGGTTTAGGCTTTCGGGTTTGGGGTTGGCAAGCAAAGCTCATATNNTATATATATACAAGAATATATGTACTATATACTTACATAATGCATTTCATAATGCATTTACAAACACATACGCTCATACAATAAGAGGACATTTTTAATTATTGATTGTTGTGTGTCGAGGGTCTCCGCCCCACTGGCTCGGTCGCATCGACAGCCACACATGGCCCGAAGGTGTAACCAGCCGCGGAAGCCACTTCGAATGAAGCCGATAGAAGGCACATCGGCCGTGTAGCTGGCCTGTGCTTCGGCAATGCTTCCAACCATTGAACATGGTAACTGAACATAAGCAACAACATACACTATATACAGTATTGTTGTAAAACCCCGTGACACAAAGCAATCTGAAACGACCAGCTGAAGTGCACGATCTGTCTGCGCAGCTGGAGCTGTGAGCAGCCCAGTCTTCTTGTCGTCGCAGCTGGTAGCACTCCACTTTCGGAAGCGAAGTCTCCAAATGTTTAGAAAAAGCTTGGCTCATCAGCTGCGGTCTCTTTCTTTTTGCTCGGACACTCCGGGTCGGCCATGCTCTGGGAGGCTCGATCTCGTCATCCATATGTTGACTGCTATCACCAAGACCTGTCTCTAGGGTCCACGTGGAATCCTCAGCCGTGTTGCGCTTAGAACAACAGAACAGCAGAAAATCTTCAGACTTCTATATTCGATTGAATTGAGTCCGCTTGAGCCTCGTGCATGCAACAACCGTCAGGCAGCGCAAGTAGCACACAACCTCGCTAGACCGTGGAAGTCTGAGGGATTACACATGCAATAGTCAGTCCTGCTGGTTGGTGCTGTGTTTGAGCATGGTGGCGTAGCACCTCTCAAGGATAGCCTCGGGCACCATGACGCTGTCGTCCGAGAGCAGCTCTGCCATCCTCATGCCCGCCAATCTCTTCACATCGGACTCCACCGTGCGAAGCGCAAACTCGGGCGACGCCTTCTCGGTCTTCTCCTCAGGTGCCTTCTTCTGCTCAGCTGCCGGCTGGGCCGCTACCAACTCAGTCACCTGCGCGATCGTGCCCTCAGCGGCCTCGGGCTGGGTGACCTGCTCCAGCTCTGCTGGCGCCTCCTTATCAATGACGGGCTTCTTCTCAGGAGGAGCTCCCTGCGGCTGCTTCGAAGCGCCACGCTTTGGCGCCATGGTCAGGATAGGAGAACAGACTCTCGACTGCGCCTCGGCCCTATCAGCCAGGCCCTATCACAAAACCTTGATCCGAACTAGTTAGTGCAGTTCAGCGGTTGTCACACAAGCCACAGTAGACCAGAGCTGCAAAAACTCATTCCGCAACTGAACCTGCCTGCAGCTTCCTGGATATCTTGCTCCGCCTGGGACAGATGTATATGTGGGAATAGTAATGAGTTTACCAGGTCTCTGGGATTGTCTGCGGATATCTGGTCCGGAGAACCAAATTGTCTGCGGATATCTGGTCCGCAGAACCAAATTGTCTGCGGATATCTGGTCCTGAGACCCAACTGTCTGCGGACGACCGGTCCGGCGGAGATA